AAAAGGGAACCGTGTACTACCAAAAGAAGAATGATGCCGTCGAGCACAAAGTGGCTGGCGCAGCCGCCAAAAAACCGCCGATATGCATTATGTAATAGAACTGAAGAAAGAAGACAAAGCTAGATGATAATTTAGATCAAATAGGACGTTGTCAGACTACATTTGTCATTTTTAATTTGACAATTAGCGTTCCTGACTAGTGTTTTAGATAAAAAAAAAATAGACAACAACAGATAGATAATCAATATGAAGATAGGAAAATCGAATGCAAGCGAGTCTGCAAGGGAAGCCCTAAATCATATTTAGAATCCGGCTAACGGTGGGTCCGTGCATACGTACGTATATCACGATAAGCCTGTTTCGGTGCCTCGTAAACAGATGTGTTCTTGATCATTATTTACGTTGGTTAAACAGAAGTAAAAAAATAAGCTAGTATCAAAAGTAGCTTTCAAACAATATAATCAAAGTTCCACTTATCCTAGACTTATTAACTATGAGTCCGGCGATGTCCTACTTCACTGAAACGACAGTCAACGAATTTTGGACACTCTAGTGCTAATGTTCGTGGCAATATTTATTGTACTATATACCTGAGTAGTTAATACCAAAAAAGAGCCTCTATTCCAAGAAGATTGGTCGTGTATTTCTTACGCCACTTATAGCTTAACTCCGATACCAGCTGGACCCTTAGCCCGTCACCCAATTGAAACATAGGCAAGTTAAAGACAACACATTTTCTCGCCTAATGGTTTTTGCCCGGAATTCTAACAGATATGCGAAACTGTCGTTAAGTATTTTTTTTTTTTTTATAGAAATCTCTTTATATAGAGAATTAGCCGATGCAGTTGCTAATGATCAAGCTAATAATATTTTTTTTTATAAACAGCAATAGCTTGGGACATCCGAAAGCTTAATCGGCAGATTTCCCCTGTTGGTGTTATATCCCATACTGAAGCTCATTCTTTCCAGCTTTCTTTGCTTATGAAGGATTAACAGTAACCCTGCACTGATCTTTTGAAGTACCGTGAGTAAGTACTTACTTGACCTCTGTAGCTTGTCGATATACTTTGTTCTAACACAGGACTGTTAAACTAAGCCTTTCCCTAGCTCTGATATCCGTTCTGGTCACCCGCTAATCCTTGCAGGTCACCGAACCGTCTATGGGGTCGGCCCAGAAGTTCCACGGATGTTGGCATTGCGCCAAAAAATGTCGCTGAAGCACTGGAGAAGATATAACTGCAAGTTCACACCTCTTTTTGCATTGGCCACGAATTAATGAGGTGTACATTGAAGTCTCTCCTCGCACTAAACCGTCTCTGAGGTGTATACTTCATTCTGACGCTCTCTCTAAAAGTACGAATTCTTCTAAAGTACGAATGCGGTAGGTGCGGTCTGCAGTACTGGGCCGGAAAACCACAAGAAGCGGTCTGCGTTGAAACAACGACGATCACCGTAGATGGATTCGAACAGATGCGGCAAGAGGGGGAGTATTAAAATAATTTCGGAATAGTCCCAATGCTAACACAGGAATAAGTACGTCTCGAAACGAATTCGTAATATCGGAGCCCTCAAAATTCGTACGAAAACGCTGCGAATCACATTTGAGGTTTAAAAAATAGTGACAAAAGTTTCGTGGTTGAAGTAAGTAAGTTTTTGTTGTGCACCATTTTATGTAGTGTGTGTGTGTGTGTTTAATAACGGGTCGCCATTGAAAGTGTCAAGCGCACGAAATGCGTTAGGTAAGATCAAGCCACATGCTTTAATTTAGCCGAAAAATTCGCAGAGCAAGATTGCAGCTGATCAAACGCGAATAATGGTAGCTGGGTAATAGTCTTCAGAAGATCCCGTTCTAGATATATAATTAGCTAGTCGCCGTGTACGGTCGTAGGCAAGATTCATAGACAATCAGTACATGGAAGACACTTAAAGAAACGTTTAAGCGTACTGCTAGATTTAACATCCACATGACTTTTGTCGTTCTCGCTACGGCGATGCTTACCCGCCTTCAAGACATGATATCAAATGTAGTTTTGCTTTCATTAATAATAATTTTAATTATACTTAATTAATTTACTATTCTCATAATTATACGATTGTGGCTAGCTTAATTAACGACAGTTATAGTCGTTAACCTAATATAGCGTTTTCGTTTAAAGCTGCTACGCAAACCTGATTAAGCGTTTGCATAGTTCTGGTTGGCCATATTCAAATATACTTTTGTATTTTCCAACGAAGCTGCACCTGCCACGGTTCTGAAGGACCCTATCGATTGACAAATGCAGGACCCTGCGAGTGCGTTATTCCCCAAGATCGTCATAATCTCTTAATCGGACATTTGTTTGCCAAACTTAAGGCAACTCGACTACTGTCATTTTTGCGCCAACAGCGCATCGTTCAGGTCAATTACTTCTTCGTCATAGACCCTGTGTTCTGCATTAACTTGTAACTGCCCCTCTGATCATCTATGCCGTAGCTTTATCATCGGATCGCGATGCGATATGACACTTCTTCCTACATAAAAACTCGAATCAGCGGATCGCCAGCGTCCTCGTTCATAATAACATTCTGCACTCAACACCTCTTCCCAACTGAACACGCGTCGTCAGTTTGGGAATGAATCTACTCTATACACACGCCCATGAGGTACCCAGCAAAACGAGCCTTGTTTCCTACTAACCACCCCTGCACCAATAGAGCCACTATAGTTCTAACTTATTATTTTCTCAGGCCTATAGTAGTTTGGGCCTGACTCAATGTATTTTTATGTGAACTTAGCAGGCCGTTTCGCTCCTCCTCAGGCGCTACTTGCAGGCTGAGTTAAGGTGCATTGAAGAAAGGTTGTACGAAACAGTCATATACAGGGTGATCCAAGTCAAGCGGATGTTTGAAAAAAATCGCTAGAGGTGCACAAATTATTGTAAAGGACGGATTATTAACCTATTTTTTTTTATATTCCATCCGGGACTGTCGTCAAACATTTCTATATTTATGTCAGCTTAGCTATATTCCTATAATACCATTTTATAGGCACACTATATGATGAAGGTCACTAAGCGATGACCACAAAATTACTATTACTACAGCTATTACGTTTAACTAATGCTATGACACTATAACATACTGTCATGTAATAACCGAATGATGTAGAATGGTCCTGTTTCAAATACGTTTCACCTACTTTTTGCTACAATCATTTCCCTGCTCCCTTGACAGATGTAAAGTGAAGACTGTCAAACGACTTCCACTCTACCCTATCGTGACATATACACATGGTGGCAAGTCGCTCAGCTTCCACCATTTGTCTGACTGTTTGCTAAAGCTCTGGCGGGACCACAGTGTCAAAATACGTTTACCAAGATTCTTTGAAATTTCAACACAGATCCCTTTTCTCTATGGAAGATGGCTCTAAACTGTGTTTCAGTTAAAAAATACCTAAATTTTAAACAAAAAAAGGTACTCTTTTTATTTCAAGGACATTTTTTTGTTTGGACAAGTTCGACGTTTGACTATAATCATTTCCAATTTCTTTAATATTTTGTTCGCCTTTCAATAAAAGCCACGATTTATCCGTAGATTCACATTATATTTTCAATACAATTTAGAATATTCAAAAGCATCGATAATTTTTTAAACTTTGAGCACTCTTCAGCGACTCCTTTTGAGGGTCTTCAAAGGATCTCATAAAAATCAATAACCTTTATGCCGACATCTTTAAAACAGTATCAAAATTTCATTGCGCAGATTGACACACGTTTACAAATCCCCTGACTTTTTATAAACCTGATTGAGTTTGTATGGTAAACGCGCAAAATCGATTCTATAACCACCCTGTATATATGCGAAAGAGAACTATTACATTCATGTCTTGCTAAAGCACATTGCTTTTTTCGCCCGTCACCTCCAAACGAGTAATGTGCATATTATCTACCCCTTCTGTTCCTGGCATGGGTAAAAGGAGATCTGCTCTATATAGACACCGCCCTCATATGTTTGAAGTATTGAGCAAATACATGTTTCGTGGGCTACTCCGACCAGAGCGAATGAACCGTTGATGCTGATGCTATTCAGGAAGTGAGCAATTGTCACTCCTGTTGCCTGAGGACCACGATTCGTACCTAGTACATAGTTGCAGCTCGAGTCAAATCTAGACATCGTGTATCCTGAGGAAAGCTATTCGCATACATTGCATATACATATATATACATGACAGTCTAGATTGTGTTCGTTGGAGATCGCAGGTATACTGTTTTATTACTTTTTGTTTTATCGACATAACGCTTTTATTGAGGACGCCAGACGCGTGCATCTGTTCATTCAGAGCGGTGTCCTTCCATTAAGTAAACACACCTCGACGAGTTGCGTATTGTAGAAACAACATGAGACGATGGCGTTAGTGGGGCGTGGTGGTCCGCTCGGCGAGACCGATTTCTTGTCTAAAGCATATATACATACGAACCTTTTGGTTTCCCTTTGACATTGAAAAACTTTGCTTGTGAGTCGTGAAAATCTGAAAGTACCCCGTGGACTTAGCATAAAATTTGTTTCCCCTACATAACGGAGGATAAACATTCAATGAACGTAAAATTGCGCATTCAGATCTACCTCATATTTCGAAAATCAATAGATTTTCGATGTATGTTTGAAGTAAGTATGGTTCACTGAGATGAGGATTTTTTCTGTTGTTTCCTTCGAAGAAACTAATGATAAAAGTTGTGTTGAATAATTAGAGACGTTCACTATGTTCATTTCTTAACGGCAGTCATGAGCGAGGATTAATTTGCGGTGTGGAAATAGCGTGCCTTTGGACCAAAGCCACGGATGTGAGACTCACCTTGTGTGCTCTTCATGCTAGCTTTTACGCGTGACCAACGAATTTTGTTGCCCTATATTTTTATGGATTATTACGTTTTGCGTCCTAGTTGGACTTGTCCATGTTGTCGCTCGAACGCTATATCTATATGTCTATATAACTAAGGAAACCCCTCTGCGAATTTATTTAACGTAGTATATGTTTATTTCGCTATACAAATGTACATCAATCAAATATGTGTATCATTTACCAGCTTTTTACATCGTTTACTTATATAAGCTAAAATAATTAGATCATTTCTTGTCTACAGCCTGCATTATAAAAGATTATAAGGAACTCTATCTGTACGAACATATATAGAAAATAGTGGTGCTCCGTATACAAGGAAATTTCTGAAGCTGTTTGGTGGAGTTCATGTGAATGGCATATTTTGTAAGGCCATTGGCCTAAATATGAATAAATCCGACAACTACGTCCCGCCAGCTTAACAAAGAACTGCCTCAATGACAAGAGAGGAGCGATGCCTACTGAGCAGTGTAAGCATATTTTTGCAGGTTTCTCACCTCTGATTCAAGGTTTTTCCTAGCCTGCGCGACACTGCACTCTGACTGAATGTTCGGTGCATGCTGTGGGTGAGTAATGCAATTTACATTACCGCAAGAGTGAACGTTTTCTAATCAGCTAATGAACAAGTAGTTGACCTAGAAAAGATCAATAAGGCTACTTGTTGGAATAGGAAAATCAACTTCCTTTCCAATATGCGAAAGCTCAGCGGCGAGATTCCTGAGTGATTTGATCTTGCATAGATTAATATCGAGGCCCGCGGAGCTTGCTTTTCTCAATGACGAGTGAGCCTCATCAACACATCCTTTTGACACAAGTACGTCTATATAGTCACTAAGGAAGAGTGCGTACAGCTGTTGCATTGGAGTTGTTGGTTTCAGAAGAGTCAGTAGCCGTTCCAACACCTTTACACTATCCTGGTTTCGCTGTCGAACTTTGCCAAATAGGATATAATGTTCAAACATACGCGGGAACTCGGCCATGAGGGCCTCTGCCTGTGACAGTTGATCTTCAGCTACGAAACGCAGCCAAAAGTGTATGAGAGTTTGGTAGTTTCCGCCCTCACGCGCGAACCGTTTGGCGTTTTGCAACACACGCAAGTAATTTCTCGGATAATTCTCAATGATAGCGTTGGCCCATTTACCGCTTAAGATTGCCGCCGGCGGAATCGTGTCGAGAATTTCGAGGTACTCATCGCCCCGGTTCGCGTGCTGGTATGCGTTACACAAATGAAAATCTATGGAACAGAGATCACAAAACTCATAATCAAGCAGAGCGCGCAGCAGAGCGATCTGCTCAACCATACCACGTCTCGCCATTTGTGTCAAAACAAAGTTTACAATTTTATACTCACGACCAACCAGGCTAGCCTGGCCACGACCTTGCAGCTCTTGACACATAATGTCGAAGGCCAGCTCAATTCGGCCATCCTCCGTGAGAGCGAGAATGAGCTTGTTTGTACTCTCCACTCGAAATTCTGGACTTACGGATAGTTCCTGTTCGCTAAATTTCAGAACGCCCTCGATTGAATCTTCGGCGGCTCCAAAGACTGGGATCTTCTCGTTAATGTAATCCTTCTCATCTTCACTATCGTTAAGATTTACTGGCGGTTGCTGCTCATCAGAGGTAACAAACGGTGCCTTGTGACCGTCCAATTGTAGTCGGCGAGCCAGATACCTCAACGTGTGCTGGGACAGCACGACATTCTCTTCCTGAGCTCTTGTCCAGAGATCTAAGGCCTTTGCAGTGTTGCCTGTATTGCAATAGCCCCTAATAAGTTGATAGTAAAGCTCTTCCTTATCATAGGGTGTTAGCTGGAGAACTAACTGAACAAATTCTTCGAGAATATCGACATAACCCCTTAACGCAAAGGACCTAGTGATGCGCTTAACTTTGCTGTTTATGACTCGCAAAGGGACCTCGTGCAGTAACTCACGAGCTTTTTCCATCTGTCCACTATAGCCGTAACACATAGCCAAATCGAAAGTTGTGGCGGCTCTTGTTATCAAGTGCGCGCAAATATCCCTCACGTTAGCAAGTTCTTTTTGGTTGTTGTCGGCTATTAACTGTAGGAATAATTTGTGTCTTAGTGCAAGCAAGTGATAACGGTTGGCGAAATATTTGAATAATCTAATACTGCCATCAGTATCTCCTGATTCCAAAACAGCGTGCATGATCTGCATAACATGTACAAGCCCGACCGATACGAATCCCGCAACGTGCTCCTCCAGTACCTTGATAGCTTCATTCACGCCAAACTTTTCTGTTGTAATTCGTATTAGAAATGCAGCCATTTGCTCCATCGAACTTGAGTTAGTTAAATCGAACACGTGATTACTCAATATAGCTTTTGCCTCACTAAGTTCCCCAATTCTAATGATCGCCGCGGCGAGACCCACCACTCGACGGTCATCGATTTTAAAGTTTGGCAGCTTCAGCGTCTCGAGGTAATACCTGAACGCGGTTTCAGGATCGCCTACATCGACGTAGAGGTCCATAAGTGACGAAAGCAATTTACCAGACAATCTTTGCCCACCGAGCCTTTGTAACATCTGTTCGGCCTTATGAATATCCCGAGCTTGGCAATACCTTAACAGCAAGCAGCTGACGACGTCTCGAGTCGTGGGTTTTGTGGTACTTTTGTTTTTTTCCAGCTCGTTAAGATGGTCTTCCAACTCGCTCAGGGTCATTATCCTGGTAGGCCGTGAAGCTGACCGCAGCATTTTATCTAAAGCAGTCCCACCAAATGGAATTTCTTGGTTTCTGTTCATTCGTGATTTGCGAGGCGTCCCTTTAACTTTTAACTTTGCTCTAGAGTTGATTGTGAGAACTGCCGTATCGAACATTTCGTTGTCCACGGCCTTAAGAAAATCGCCTATAGGGTCTGCCCTGTGAACCCTTTCAGCGTCACAGCCCATTTGAAAATCAAACACTTTCTGAAGGACCTCAACGCACAGGTCGATATTGGCTGGCGTAGCAGCCTCACCTGCAAACGTTGCCAAATACATACTCAGATCGCACTTATAGGCGTCGATTACGGCAAGGCATTTCTCTACTTCGCCTTCACTGAGCATACGCTTTGCCACTGCATTCACGCATATCGAAAGAATGCAACCACAGTTGACCAGTCGGTTCACGACGCTCTCTGGAGAGTCACAGTCAACTCGTGGCAGGACGAAGTCCAGCAAAAGCTCGTTGGTAATCGGGACTTTCATTTTTACCATGGTCCGGACAGTATCGTAGATTTCAACGTCGTTCGTCGTCTTACACAGTAGAGGGTAAAAGAAATGCGGTCGAAAATTGTAGCCCAGTTGAGGCATGAGGACCAGGAACCGTAAAGCGGTTTCACGATCGCTAAACCGCAGCGCCATTTCCACGGCTAATAAGAGACCCGCGCTATTCAAATGCTTTGTTTTAAGCTCTTGACATACGCTGACTACATCATCTAGCGGTAGCCCTGAGCGAATCATTTGCCTAATGAAAAACGCGCCATACGGCTTTTTCGAGGGATTAAATGGTAGTTTGTAAAGTATCACTCGGGCAGCCTCAAGCCGTTTGAGCGACAACAGTTCAAGACACGTGTTGACGATGTCCTCTACAAAGCCTGTAGTTAGTGGCATTTTGTTAATCACCGCGGCCATTGACTTGATGTCGTCGTTTAAAGCAAACGCCTTTGCGATGCGCAGGATCTGATCATCCGATAGCGAGCGTCCGTCAATAGTCTGAAGTGCTCTCTCACCACATCCCTTCTCGACTAGACTGCACGCAAGAACCGTGTACGTTTCGGCAGTGGGCCCCAATTCAACACTGTGCATTATTTCCATGACTTTTCGGGCAGCTGCTTCATCGTCTGCAAGCAGATGCCCCTTGACGAGTGCGTTGAATACGCGTTCGGATACGGGCAGTTGTTCCTCGATCATTAATTCATGCATTTCATTAGCAGACTTCGTTTCGCCCATATCGCAAAAACGCTGAATAAGCTTCTGATACGTCACACGATTCGGTGCGATATTAGCGTCTCTCAACATGTCGAGAAATGTGTGTGGATCGAAAGATGTTCCATTTTCGAGATAGATCTGTGTAACCAAAAAATGAGCACATAGTCAACATGGATGTTTGCGAGGCGACCCCTATAGTTCATTAGATCATTCTCGTTAATGCTACTAGCTAATTAATAGCTTAGCGAAGATACGCAACGGATATATAAGCAAGATAGAGTGTCAAATCTAACGAAGATCCATATATGTATAAAACTCAGGATGGCTTAATCTGCCCGAAGTTTCATATTCACCAAACAATTAAAGAAATGGTCAAAGTGAATCACTGATCAAAAAAATAAAAACTTCGAAAGTGTGGGACCAGAAAAAATTGAAACGAAGAAAAAATCACATGTTTGCGCATAAAAGCGCGTCCGTTATTGTGAGTTCGGTTGTTGTTCGACATTATCTTGTAACTGATTTGGTTTAATCACATCCTGAGCATATACTCTACTTGACGCATTGCTTAACAACGAAGAAGTCTACGAAGAAAATTTACGGTTGAACTGGGAATTTAACAAAACCCGTACAATTTTTACCTGTAACAAGGCGTTATAATGCGAGATGTCGAGTCTTTGAGGATCAGCAAGATTCCATACGGTATCTGTTAACGATTTGCGGTCCACTGGTGACAACTGCCGGAGATACTCGCCCGTCAAGCGAAGCAACTGGGCCATGTTTGCCGGACTGACGTTACCTACAGATTTACTCATAGATTATAGAGAAAGCGAGGTGAAGTCTATTAATGAGAGGTAAAAACATAGTTTTCAACATAATTTCAAAGCGTTTGCTTAATCGATTAGTTATAGCCGAAGGAGAAGGTCGTAATCACCTTTTTAGGTCCCGAACTACCCATGACTGCAACAAAATCAGCTTTATTAATACTACTAGCAACAGACCTTGTTGCAACTGCGCGAGTTCAATTACGTGATCCAGACTTCGCAAACTGACACGGCCTGTTCGCCGAACGGATCCATCTATTTGCGTGAGTTCCTGATGGAGCTGATTGGCAGGGTCCTGGAATCTAGAGCCGGAGGCATCAACGAAGTTTTGCCGCGTCTGAAGATTAGCTGTCATCACAGAAAATGCACATTGCCTGCGATACGCACGCGAAAATGTCTGAGTTCACTAGCGGCTATAAGTTCGGTGCCGATCTCGCCACGTAGGTGTGTAACATTTTTTTTAATAAAATTACTTAAATAAATAATAATAATTAAAATATTATTACGGCCCATATTTCGTTTATTTAGTTACATCTGTCGTATATGTCAGCGTACTCAAAATATCGTGTACTCGAAGTTAAGTTACAGCCATTATTGCCCAAAAGATTTCGTTCTTATATAAAGAGAGCAATAGTGCCTGAATTAGTTTTTCATCCAGTAAAATTATTCCGTATCTCAATCTGTACCCGCCGCAGCGTCACGGAAGCGAGAGAAATAGCTAACGCTTCTTTGGGCTTTTAGTTTTTTGCATTTATCGGACCAAACACATGCAACAGGTACCGCGCGTACTAAATTTTACACAGTTACACAGCATAGCGTCAGAAATCAAGCAACCTTAATCACTATTCAGTGGCATCGTTACCATACTATTACCAATTCGCCTATATCCCTCCCTTTAGTTTCAAGGGACAGAAATAAGTTTGGTAATTTACGTAGACGTTGAGTGTATACTGTTGCTCGAAGAGCAGCACAAAAGCGATCCGCACATGAAGGAATAGGTCGATACCAGGATTAAAGTTTTCGATGACCTAGGTGCAAAACCGGCATTAACGAATCTGTCAATCTTGTTACCTGAACGTCACGTTACACCGCTCGTTTAATAACGGGATGAAAATATTTCTGGTTTGTTTTTGTCATCAAATACAACCTATCGTGACTTCGAACTCGGCGACTCGCGCTGCAGCCATTCCGAAATTCTTCGGTTCGCCGAGCTGGGAGTCGTCGACAATACCGGCCACAATGGCAGTCTAGCAGACGAACGAGGTTCAGAACTAAATAACTCATGAAATTTCGGTATGTGCAGCTGTTTATGGGATAGATCCTGTAGGGTATTAGAGTGTTGGCAATAAACAGAAGGGAACTCCTGTGTGGGTTCGGCCTGACGGGGAAAGACATTTGTCGATGCAGCCAATTGATGGGTGCGTGAAAGAACCATACCTTGCCGAAGATCTCACGCAGTTGAGAATAACCGTTTGATGCTGAATAAGACGTTGAGTCCTTTTATAAATTGGTGAACTTGAACACAATAGACGCATCGCCCCAAACGGCAAGCGCGCCTTCAGACAAGCAGCGTGAAATTCTCGTCGTCCAGTGGCTCAAATCTTTGAACTCAATAAAATCGAATGCAGATTTTCGATGTTTATTTCTTTCTAGTGTATGCATTCACATTACCGGCTATGTTATGCATGTGCCTAGCAGACGACGCTCGGCGGAGTGGCTTTTGGCTCCGCCCAACAAGAAGGGTTTTTCGCGCACTAAAAGAGGACCCATCGATTCCAAAAACTTTAACCGTACTTCGCGTTCCAAATTTAATGGCCCTGTGCCTCAGCCGGTCGATGCATAATATTATACTGTTTAATAGAGTGACATCTGAACGCTTATTGTGCCGTGGAAATACTTCTATGTATGTCTAGTGTTCAAATCATTTTGCCAGAAAGTCTGCAACAGCCTAATCAATTCATTTTCGTGTGAAAAAATTATCACTTTTAGTACTAATTGAGTGCTCAACAATCGGAGTATTTTCCGTTATGGTCTACGGTTCCGTCTTACTTGTTAGATGGCTTACAACAGGATTAGTGGCTCTGTCAGGATAACACAATCGTAAACCCAGCTTTGCACTCCTTTGAATATCGAAAATTACACTCCAGTCGATAGACTTTGCATTTACTTGGCACCGAACATACAAAATAGACCTTACTGATGTAAAACTTATAGACCGACTTCAAGGGGGTTCCCCGCATCCTCGAAGTCGCGTTGGGGCTAGAATCTGCATAAACCAAACTTAGTTTTTCACACCACTAACCCGTTTCCTCCTTTATTAAGTTGCTCAACTTAATTAGTTGACATTTACAACACTTGAAAATAACCATTCCAAACGATTTGGAAAGTCATCGTGGATTTTAACGGGCATAGAAGAGAACGTTTCTTTATAAATGTCTCACTGATTTGCGGTCAATACATGATAAACTTGGCTACAGCACATATCACTTGACAACATAAATTGGAAGGAAAAGTATAAATAAAAGCCGTATGAACCCTACCATATTTACCACTGGGTAAGTATTGCTGGGTTACTACCTATAATGCAACAAAAATGAATATGCGAAGAATCATTTCGTTCGAAAGGGAGGTTCGTGACATAATCTTCAGATAGCCGACACAGCAGAACCAAAAATCGTGTTATTACATGCGTGTACTGTACAATTGCATTAATCTACCTTTTGGCTACCATTTTTCACATTAATTAAAAGCTTTCGAAAGGCCCAATATAGCAGCAAGAAGACCTAACCGCATGACTATGACAATTACTGGATATGTCGCTTGCCCATGCGAAATAATCAATCTTTCATCTAGAAAAATCTTCTTATCATTACAGGTTCAATCATAAGATTATGTGACCTTAATCAATATCTAAACGTTTTATTTCAAATTTATATAAATTAAAATAGAATCCTTTGATGCTTGTTCAGCACATGGTACATCACCATACACATTATACTATAGATTTATCTCTATTTTATTTTATTTATATACACAAACGTACATAAGCTAAAGATAATTATCAACGTATATATATATATATATATGTATATATACTTTGAAAATTTTATCGCATGGTTAAGGATGGCATGCATTCTAAGGGGCGAATCTCTTCAAGAAGAACGGATGGAAAAACACAAAATTTCCGCTTGACAGGTTTCTTTACTTTCCGGAACGGAAACGCGGGAAACGGACCCGCTGATAACAACAGTAAGCCGATCCAATGTTTGTTGTTGGTGTTGACAATGTTTTTTCGATACTAGACACACGATAAAATCATCAAGGCGCTGATACTGTATGTTTCTAGTTCTAAAAGACGAACTAGCGGTATATACATTCGGGACTAAGCACCGTTTCAGAATTGTTAACAAGAGCTAACAGAAGTATCCATGAGATTCCGCAATCTCAACTAGGCTCTTTCATCACTAAATATTGTCAAACAGTTAAAACTAGTTTCATTCATTTATTCATTTAAGTTAATTAATAAACTTATATGAATGAATGTTAAAGTTTTAGAGTACTGTCGTATTAAAGCAAGCGCTTCCTTACTTACAGAGATTACCGGTTGACCTGCAACATCGAGCAAGAAATATCTGCGTATGTATATATCATCCCTCAACTACCCATCGATAATTGTCCCATGTTGCTCTCAAATGTGACAACAGCAAAAACTATATGAATTACTTCAATTGCCATACCCTAACTAATATACAAGTTTACACCACACGTAACTCTATTGACCACGACGAACGCCTAACCCATTGCAAGCCTTATTAAGCTGATGCGAAACGAACCCGTTTTTCTAACTTTAAGGTTTTTACGTAAGTTGTTCCGAATCTTGCTATTGGTTTCTGACCACGCCTATATGCGCACACAGCTCTTTTGAGGCGATGTTTTTGAGAAGGTTCAATATTCGTTCAGACATTATGTCATTGCCTATTCTACGAACTCGATTAAGTACTTGTATGACAAAGAGATTCTGCTTAAGCATCCCCGGAAATTCAGTCAAAAGTACTTCTGCTTTCGAGTAGTCGCCATCGGCGAAAAAACGAGTGCAGAGTGCGTTCGATATCGAATAGTTTCCACCGTCCCGAACAAATCGTCTGGCATTGTGTAAAAGACGATCAACATCTTCAGGATATACTTTAAGCACTTCTTCAATCCAGTTAACGGAGACTGAGCTTGTAGCCGGCAGCCTGTCAAGAATATCAAAAAACTCGTAGGAACGCCCAGCAAATACATAAGCACTAGACAGTAACTGGTCAATATTATATAGCTTGTAAAGGTTGTCCTCGAGCACTTCTCGTAACGAAGCAATCTCATCGATCATGCCGCGCTGCGCCAGTCTCGTTAGAAAAAACCGCGTCATCCTCGGCGGGACGTACGGATCACTTGGTGCACGGTTTTGCATCATTCGTCTGAAAATTCTGAACGCTTCATCAAGCTGATCATCATTTGCAAGCGCGAAAATTAGCGAGGTTTCCTCTTTGACTGTTAGAAGCTCGCCTCTCGACAGTATCTGCTTTCGAAACTCAAGAGCATCGTTGGTTGAGCTCTGGAGCGCCACGGCAAACGGTGTCAAGCTAGAAAAGTCAATGTCAGTGTTCAGCGTGGATGCAACGTTCTCGGATGGTATTACAAATGGAACGTCGAACCCACTACACTCCAGTGCGCGTCCTAAATACAGAAGCGTTCGATTGGAAAGAACGACATTTTCCTCTTGAGCTTGAATCCATAGCTCCAATGCTTCAGCCATGTACCCGACCCGCACATAACCGCGCATGAGTAGATAGTAAAGCGTATCTTGGTCCTCGTACAGCTCACCCAGCAACTTAACATGCGCCTCGAGCTCACGCAGCTGTTTCTTAGTAGCCAGTAGTTCACAATGGTATTCGATTTTCTGCTGCATATGGTCCAGTGGAAGGGTCTGCAATATTTCGCGAGCTTTTTCAAATTGCCCCTCCGAGATGTACGACGAAGCTAGCGAGAATTGTACTGCGTGTTTAGAGTGTATCTTTGATACTGCGTCAATAACGTTATCTAGCATTTCGGTTTTGTTTTCAATCAGAAGTTTCCGAATCATTTCAATGTAATGAGGTGTAACCTTGTACCGAGCTACAATATCCATAAATAGCGCATAACATGCATCGGCGTCTCGATTTTCCAGGACAGACTTCATGATCGGACTCAGAACCGTGGTAGTGACAGCTGTAAAATTAATTACGTAATCGCGAACCATCGTTAGGGCTTCTTCTACGCCGCATCTCTCGACGGCAGTGGTGATCAGATATTTGGCTGGCCCTTGCATCCGACAGGAAGCCCCATTAAATATATGCCGGTTCAATATACTCTTAGCTACAACAATATTTCCATTTTGAATAACAAAGGAGGCTAGGTTGACTATTCTAGAGTCTTCGATATAGAACCCAGGACGCTTTAAACCTTGCTGATAAAATTTCAAGGCGCCACGGAGGTCGTTTTTGTAGATGCTTAAATCGATGAGCGTAGTCAACTCTGAGACAAAGAGTTTTTGACCGCCAAGTTTCCGTAGTATTTCGTCGGTCTTACCGACGTCCCGTATTCGACAATAGCCTATGAGTAATTTGCAGAGCACGCCTCGAGTACGCATGTTCTTGTGTTCAAGATTATCGAGCTCGTTTTCCAGCTCGTTCAAGGTCATCTGCGTTTTAGGAGAGTTACAAGCTTTCAGTAATCGTTCGTCCTCAAGGGCGCTGTCTAGTAGATGTGTATAGAGAGCTCGATTGATTCTTAAGTCTTCCTTGCTGATCGCGGCAATGGCCGTTTTCAGTAAGCCTTGAGGGACTGCGGAAAGAAATTCGCAAACGGGATCAAGCGTATCTGACACCCGATCCGTTGGCTGGTTAACGATTTCTTTGAGCACTTTAACACATTGTGCGATGTTCTCTACATTAGCGACCTCACCAGCAAGAACCGCCACGCTAGCATTGAGGATACACTTATGTTTAGCTAAAACTTCGAGGCACTTTTCCACCTTCCGATTAGCCAGTAAGTACTTGACTAGCGCGTAGACACATTTAGAACGGGAGCAGCCCGTTTGTAGGGTCCGTTCAATAACTTGTCCTGGCTGGTCAACGTTGAGCTTGGGTAAGACATAATTAACAAGCATCTCTTCGGTTACTGGTAGACCCAGCCGTACTACTGAGCGTATAGTGTCAAAAACTTCGCATTCGTTTTGAGCCTTGCAGACGACAGGATAAAAGAAATGCCCTCGTAAAGGAACGCCCCACAGAGGCATTAGTTTAAGGTAGTCAAACATAGTGCGACGATCACTGTATTTAAGAGCGGTTTCAACAGCTTTTACGAACCCCGACTGACTGACTCCCTTATCTTTCAACTCATAACAGAAGTTCATGACGTCTGTTACCGCCACGTGCGATCTGACCATCTGTGAAATTAACGAGTTACTTTGTTCTTGCAGGTTTGAATCGACCGGAATTTTGTCGAAGAGAATGCGGAAAACATTGAGTTTCTTGAGCGAGATCATATCCAGACATGAATTAATCGTATCTCGTGTGTAGCCAATATGCTGTGGCATCTTATCAAGCACACGTTTCATTGACTCAGTGTCGTTTCGCATTGCGAAGGCTTCCGCAATACGGAGAATCTGCCCGTCTGATAAAGAACGGCCCTCGATGGCCTCTAGCGCTTTGTCTGTGTATCCTTTTTCGATGAAACTCCGAGCCAAATCGGTGTACGTTTCGTTCGTCGGGGGCGTTTTCTCAGACCTAGCCATATAGTCGATGACTTTGCGAGCGGATATTTCATCTCCCGCGAGAACGTGCCCCTTAACTAAAGCGTTTAAGACACATTCTGATTCAGGTAGTTCTTCATTTTTCATGAGTTCATAAATCATCTTGGCACCACCGAGATCGGCCGAATCGCAGTACCGTTGTAATAGCCTCTGATATGTTATATAGTTGGGCGTAAGGCTACTTTCGTTCAGGGTCTCAAGAAACGCCAGCGGATCGAATAGTGTCCCATTTTCGAGATATACCTGTGGAAAAAAAGCCCAAATGATAAGAAATTACACGCAATTAGAACAAAGTTTATAAACGATTCCTCATATACTCAGTAAATATGCGTACACACCGCACATAAAAATAAAACAAATCGAGAATATTGTTTATGATAGTAAAAAGTATTCAATCGTAACATCACCAAATGGCTTCAATTGTGTCAAGGCTAGATGCCCCCATACAAGCATTCGCTATACGATTTTAATATAAAAGAAAAAAAAAAACGATATATCTAAAAAGATATCATGGTTAGACCAAATAGTTTGAAACTCAAGTTTTTGAGTATATTCAAGACAGTCAAATTCAAGTTACACTCCGTCTGCAACATGATACACTGACAACTTTACCACTGTTTTCAAGCTGGTCAAATGGCTATAGACGCAACTGATACGCAGAATCATTAAAAGTACGATAGTTCATTGCTTTTGAATTAAATTTATACACAAAAGTAAATATAAATCCCTTTTACATTATTGCCCTTTTTGTATCCCCCTGTATTCGGAAATGAAAGACCAACCTGCAGTAGTACATTATAGTGCGAGATGTCGAGGCTTGCGTGATCGGCAAGGCTCCATACGACTTCTGTTAACTCCATACGAACATCTGGCGGAAGCTGTCGAAGAAACCTGCCAGTAAATCGTAGAATCTGAACCATCGTGGTATTTTCTAAGCTTGCTGAACGTCGCACGAATAAAGCAAAAAGGTCGAAAGAAAACAGTATAATAAAGCCTCAGGAAAAGTCAGCGAGTGACCTTATTCATACCGTAATGTGTCCAATTGATCTTCGATGGCATGAACCTGGGACGCTGTTTACTAACCTTTCTCTCACACATAATATTCTAGGGCATGTGAACTCTGTTAAATAAAGCAGAGTCGATTCGGTCCAAATTCTCTTTGGAACAGCTATTTCACATGGGAAGTGCGAGTCTTTTTCAAACTAAGATAAAAAAAAAAACAGGTAAACTAGGTCGGCGCTAATACGATTATAAAATATTGGCTCAAGACTTACACTACAGAGACAAATACTTTTAGATACCTCTGGTGTGCAAAAAAAAATAAAAAAAAAACAACTAAAAAAAACCGTTCCCACATTATTAATATCTTGAAAAAAAAAATACATATTTGTCTAAGGTACAAACCGTGCTGTTCGCATTTTGCCATTTCAATGGCATCGCACAGAGTGGCCATCCTAACTCGGCGCAGCCGTTGGACCTCTTGCTTCATTCGATCAACCATAATTTCCAGTTTCTTCCCGCCGCTCCCTGCTCTGGCCTTCGGCTTTGAGGCGAAGGCAAGTTGACTTCGCACTAGAAAACCTGAGGCCGCAGGGGGTGCTGCCGCCGTTACTGCATTGAAACAATACCTAGGGTTAAAACCAAATATGAGTATATTGCAATAATTGTTTTCTTTAGAATCTCATGAATCAATCACAGTTTCAACAAGTCCACAAGTCCTAAACAAGATCGACATGTTTAGTTAGACGGTATGTGGTGAACGATGGTGTTATAATAAACGGTAAATTGGATAGCTGCTGTAATTGTGGAGTACACGTACACACACGCACATACCTTTACCGCAATACGCGAAATACTACTTGTAGTTGAATAAAAAAAAAAAAAAAAAACGATTTCCACTAAAAGGGCTTCTGGCTTGCGGAGGGAGGGGGTGGTCGACAGGAACGGTATACCTAACAAGTATGCGTTTCGCGTTGGCTGCATAGAAACAGCTGTCGCTCAATGGATCGACGTAGTGACGTTAAGCAAACAACTTTGATAAGCGCAAGCGTGTCGAAAATCGGAGACTAGAGTGTATTTCCTAAGGCTAGGTGTTCTATAAGGGTTATATTTGCAGGGCTACTGTGAGTGCAAGGAGATTCTCTCAGAGTATCTTTACAGTATATCATGCATCAAGTTTTTGACGGCGATTATCTGTGCCGAGGAGAAGTTTTAGTTCAGCAGTAAAAAAAAAGTACATCCAGCTTGTAACTTTTCATTCACGCGCCCTTTGCTGCCCAGGCCCAAAACGTCACATGAAATCACCCCGTAAATTACGATAACTTGATTATGTTAGCTTGATTGTTGCTATACTGTTCATACATTTTGCAAGGTAAAGAGATTTAGTCAGACGTACTACTGCAGTGATTTGCGGATACTGCGAGAAGAACTTAACACAATTGTTTAATTAATCATTCACTTAATTAATTAGTAACATCACCATAAACGTATTAACTAAAGTTCTAATATTGGAAAATAGAAAGTGGAGCTTTATAAATTAATAATATATGGTATTTAACTTGAATTTAATAAATGAAATACCTTCTTCTGTATAATATAATCTGTAATAAAAAATGCATCACATTTAACTAGTGATGCTTCTAAAGTGTCTCTCGACAGAGACTTTTTGTCACTTAGGCAAAAAACTTGGGCAAAAGTACAACAGAAAGCATATATATATATATATTATATAGTTTTTTTTGTAGAATTATTTTTTAGAATTTCTTTTTTGTAGAGAGGCTAAGTATCCTACTCATGAGGTTTACCTAAAGAGAAACGAGAATTAACCGCTAAATAAACACAGGGGTTACAGCTCAAGCACTAATTAAGGGAAGCGAACGAACGGGATTATGCGTCGATTATATATATACCGTACACCTAGTCCGATCAGGGTATTCTGGGAATGGATTTTTGCAGCAGCAGCATCTCCACCATTGTCTGATTACGACGATACCAAATTCATCTAATGTTGAATGGTGTCAACACTGTTACTGATGAGCAATGCGTTCCTTAGGCCTTTCGACCCGCCGAAATCATCGAGCGCGCCTTCGCTAGTTCTATCTGCCTTTGCACGCCCCAAGGTAAATAAGAAAAATTCACGTTTGGTTTATAAATAAAAAAACAACATGAGTATTATTTACAGCGAGTTCTATTAGCGAAAACATACCTCGCTGAGGCTCGTACACGATGAGCGAGACGAACTGTTCTGTGGTAAATTGATCTATGTATCTTGCTCGACACCTGGTCAGCTAACCCTAGCATTAGCATGACTAACCACTTTGCCTAGCCACAGGTGGCAAACCCAGGCCGCAGGCAGGAAAGCGGGTAAAAAATACTTTCAGATAGAGTAACTGTAAACAGCAGTTCTTTTTTGTTATTGTTTTCATGTGCTTTCGCTGTCGATCGTAGCTACTGGATACTCGGTACGAACTGTTCTCCACACGATGATTGCGGGAGAAGCCTCGCTTTGGCTTAATAGAAGCCTGAGCTGAATTGTAGAAATGTCTACGGCTCAGCCCAGTAACGCTGTGAAAACCAGCAGTCACAACATAAGCACAGCGTTCATCGTCTCACGCACGTCAACCAAGCACGTAAAGAGACATAGCGGTATCCCGCACTTTGCTTCAGATAGTAAAATAACTCCAAATATGATGTGTATATATGATAGTTCTTAATAAAATACTGAGTGTTTTTTTTTAAATACAAATATATAGTGACCGGACTTTTATCCAGCAGGATCTATATATGCTGTGGTTAGATAAATGTAATTTAGAGGTGATTCGTTGTGGGGTAGAAAATTGAAACGGATGCTTCTTTGTGATGTTTGACATTGAACGAATTTTTGATAAAGCCTTCCATGCTGTATGATATGTATATACTGGCGACGACCAATCGACGTTATGATGAGCGGTGCCGATGTAGCGCATGTGGGAACAGTTTTTTTTTGGAGACAATATTAACAAAGAACAAAAATAAAATCGACAAAGAAGTTGTTGTAATTTTTAACGGAGGGTACGCTGTCGCCTATTATTCGATATCTCGCCAATAATTACTGAAGGAGTATGTTGAAAATTGTAGAAATTCGACGAATTGGGCTCGTATCATTGAACAGCTGAGAAAACGTATCTATCAGTGACAATGATAACAACACATTTTTCTTGGTGTCCAAAAAAATATTGTTGCTGAACTCAATATATGGATATAAATGTGATGACCCTACAATTGAATAAACTTGATAATACGTAAGGTATTCTGGGTTCCAAATCAGACGTAGATATGGGTCGTCTGATGTGGGAGGCCAACTGCTAGCAAAAAATGCTATACGTGAATTTTTGAAACATTTATAAAGATATGAGCCTTATGCGGTTTTTCGTTCAATGTGACTCTCGCGGTGAATTGACATTTCGTTTCGTATTTTTTTTACAGATATTATTGCAGCAATGTGTAGAAGGCGTTCTAGTTTGTCATCGACTATGTTTTGTGAGTAGTGGAATAGGCTCGTAAAGTGGGTAGATCAAATTTAAAACAAGAAAGCCGGCTAGTATAGCCCACCTATCGGTATATATATTCTCCTTATAAATCCATAACTTAATAATTGAAAAAATTCTAACCTCTAATGAAAGTAGTTATTACGTAGAAATTGCGAAGCGAAATGTGTCCCCATTTTGTATCAGATTTCTGTAATTCCCTTAATTATGAAACGTTTCTAACTGTTGGTAATTTTCACCAGATTTTCTGCAAACAGTTTTCTGCAAGGACAAACCAGCAGTCACACAACGGTCGATAATACCTGGTTTCTGACGATACAGCAAAAAATCACACTTGAAATAGCTTGACAAAGCCTAATAATTGCTAAACATACCTTCACCTAGAGTACACCGATCTCTGCGGACAATGATCGTGACCATTTTCGAAACGTCACTACGTGAGTTTCAATACGTTTCAACTACTCACCTCAATATTATCATACATTTTTCACCGATTTTTATGATAGCTTCAGTTTCAATCTGTCGCAAATAAAGTAAGCAGTTATTTTTTCTCGATATTTCTCGGTTTATTCATCATATTTAAGTGTGTATTTATTTTGGTGTCAAACTTCATTAAGCGACGACTACTACTATTGTTGGAAACCATGTTTCTTCTATTTCAGATGCTTTCCCTAATAGTGATTCCTTATCGCCATGCCTATCCGGCTGTAACTTGCTACTAATCTGTATGTATCCTCCCTTTTCAATGGCAGTACTAGTCGTTTGCAAGGTACCGGTCGACATGGCCCGAAAGGAAAATCTAACCAAGTCGATGCTTGATGACTTTTTTTATTTCGATTCACGTATCTGGCTTGGCTACCATGGCCTATTAAGCTTGTTTCAAGGAGACACGAGTATGCCGCTAATAAAGCCCACCTCCTTCAAATTTATGACTGCGTTGGTAATGCGTTAGGTGACGCTTTCACAGAACAGCCAGCATTGATAGTATTACGCATGGCATCCACAAGCGTAGGTGTTTTCCAGTGGCGTCAATGGTACCCAGCGCACTGAAAGCGCCAACTTCGTTTTGTGCGTTACATGTCACAGGGTGGAAGAGACGCTCCCGTGAAAAGTAAATCCCTTGCAGTATGGGCTTAATATATTCATATAATGGTATTTTAATTACCGGAGCGTATAGCCGTCTCGAAGGAGATTATTACGGCGTACCCATAATCGTTTCGATTTGACAGTTACTGGCGAAACTATTTTACTTCGACGGTTGCTAGGCCCTATTTTACGAACAAAGCTATTTCCTAGTAAACTTTCGCATTATTCAGATATAATCGGGAAGGGTTCAAAGACAGCTTGGGCTATATTGAATTTCCTGAAAACAAACAATTAAAGGCACAAATTCGTAGTGTCGTGTATTCTTTGGGCTATCCGAATGATATGCTCCCAAGAACGGCCTTGACAAATACAGTTTCATCATTCACTGCAAGCGTTTCTCCATCTGCCAAAAGACGCTCATTGAAGATTTTGACCGCCTTGTGAATACCGCCCGTCTCGATCAAGCGACGGGCTAACACTGGCTAGGTTTCGTCTGATAGCGTTAGCTGCTTCAACGACTTTAAGGGTCGCCTGCTTACAACCATGTCGTCCAGCTCGCACAAACGCTGGCTTAGAATCTGATACGTGACTCAATCTGGATCGACACCACTTTAACTTAAAATTTTAAAAAACTCTTCTAACTTGAACATTGTTCCAATGTTAGGGTAGTGCTATGATCAGATAAAACAACAGGAAATTAGATGAGAATCATCTCTGCTCATGCATGCCTGCCTTACTAGCTGAACACTAATCAAGTCTAACATATGTATATTACAATGTCTACATGAAAGAGAAACGCACCCGTTTTGTATGTACGATGTAAAACATTTACGTATTGCAGATACCCAGTACAATTTTACCTGTAACGGGACGTTATAATTGGCGATGTCGAACTACTAACCTTCTGCAAGGTTCCATACAGGCTCGGTTAGTATGCCTTTAGGTGCGATTAGTATCTGTTTTTCGGTAAACATTTCGGGAAAAGTTGTCCTGTCCACCGCAGCACCGGAATCATTTGATATGAATAAAAACTGCCTGAAAATAAAAAAATACACTTACAACGAATACAGCCATTATAAATAAGAATGATAACGTTTAAAATAAAAAGCATTGTGTTAGTTTAGAGACACAAAGTTACTATTTGGTGAGATGAATTTGGTATGAGTAAAAGGTATTGGTAAATAAGGAAACATACAACTATACGAATTAAATGAAGAACGCCGTTTCTTTCATTTTTATTGATAATATTAAGTTACTAACAAGTCCTCAGAATCATGAGTCCGCTGAATTTCCAAAAACGTCTAAATGCCCATTAATCATCATCGTCATTGAAGGTAAAATCTGCCTACGCAGCACGCTACATAATTGGTGAGCTTGAATTGTGTTTTCGAATTAGGATAGCGTGACGCGGCTTGTTATCCGAATAACCTGGTGCAATTCTAAGGGCATTTATCCAGTGAGATATAGGTCAGTGTTGGCCTGCAGCTAGATATTGTAGGCTTCAGCAGCTATAACCTTCACATTCAAGGGGCATAAATACATGTTTACTGCGTAAATTTGTGGCCGGCGGTATCCTTGTCGTCAACGGTCACAAATTCGAACCAAATCCTTAACCAGAGAAGACCACTAATATTAGGAGTAAATGATATAATACGAATAAGCTGTTCTAAATTTTTTCTTTATTAAGTCTTGTTTTGAGGCGGAGGAACATATCGGATGTTAGCATCATTTTGACCAACGGGTTTCATGGACCTTTAGGACCCTAGAACAGTGTCGGTGAGTTACTATGTAAATGCGTTGAAGAACTCTACCAGTATTTCAGTATCGTACACCTATTTTCTTCCTGTGATCGGTCATGTTAGTTAATGTTCGCTAAACTATGGCCGACATCAATCAAGTATAATCTTTATATAGTATGCTATAGACTTGCTTCACCGACAAGGGCTTTATTGAAGGCTAGTTTTATTTGGCTTGCGTTGTTCGTGTTTGCTTATAAAACCGGGAATTGCAATACCTGTTCTAAATTTGTGTCAAATACGTGTTGGCTGGAACAGTTTCTTTCTTTCCAACCCTAGACCCTAAGTGTATGTACATCTAATAGAAGAATCCGCCGTCTTGAAACACAAGACAATTCTGTTCTGCTTCGAAACAAGTGCACACACACAATATTGTACCGTTGACCGTTCGAATTTTCCGTCAAGTGTTAAGATCGCTAGGTAAGTATGGCTTAAGACGATTGATTCCTGTCAACACAAAACGATAAGCTCGGATTCGAAGAGAGACCACAGCTTGCTCACAAGTTTAATAGACATGCACGTAACTACTGCACTATCTCGAATTGTCAAACAATTGGCTCCAGGTGTGGAGTCCATATACATATATATATATATATATATATATATATATATGTATATATATATATATATATATATATGCTCTTGTATGAAATGAACACATTTATATTGCTACGGGAAACGTGTCAGTGTTCGTGTGCAGATCAGCTGTGACTATAAACTGCTCGCAAAAACCTCCAGGCTCACATTTCTCCGAAATAAGATGTTTCCATTCTCTGAGTAAAGCTGTAGGGTTGATAACCTCGTTAGAAACTTCTGAGAGCCGGACTCTTGCCCGCTAATCCCAATAATCACGGGCCCGTACGACAAATACGAAGGAAATATCCACAGCTGAGCTAGAACCTATGCTCGCTTGAGCTTTAACACGAGACAATCTGATTCAAACACTAGACCCACAAAAATGCATACCCGGCATGCACTCGAATCCAAAAGAAGAACGAATGTCGAGTACAGGAGCGGGCGTTGCTGCAGATGCTGGAGGTTAAGCCCACAATTTGTAACGGAAAATATCGCGTTAAGTATAAACGCGCAAACGGCAAATGCAAGTACTTAGCGCCGGTTATGAACTATAGGCAAAAACATCGCATTCACAAAAATTTCAGAGTCCAAACCGTGAAAGAGACGATGGTACGTCTATCGCAGAGCGAGCGATGCTCTGAAGAAAAAGTTCGCCCCTGATCTTCGAAACTGAAGATTTCTAAGGCGTGGATATTGAAGAGAAATATTTGAAATTCTACCAGCTGGCTTAGTTTACCATGTAATTATAGAATAAAAGTTTTAAGAGTATGAATTGTATTGATAAAGCAGGTTTTTTTCGGTAGTTTTTATAAATGACGATATGTAATCTAAAGTAGACATTTTTAAACAGAGTAAATTTGCTGAACGCAACGCGTCTCGTTTATCAGTTTATATAGTCATGACGAAACTGCAAGCAATGAATGATAATATCCTATCGATCACAGGTATACATTTCTAAATTTTAGCTAGTTCTGATTTGAATAAAGATGCTTTTCACAAAGATCGTAAAAGCGGAACTTGCTTAAGGCAGCGATTCGGCTGTGTAACAATGACATAATTTAAGATAAGAACTCGACAATTCTAAACGACTGTTTATTTTTATCGAAGTATTTATTGTTTATTTTTCGGTGCCAAACAGCCATTGGTATCTGGACATTAAATTTTTTTTCAGCGAAGGCTGCACTACCACCATGTCCAGTATGCATTCGTAGTCTGAAAGAGACAAAATGTTTGTCCTCTCAAGCAGACGAAAATTTCATCATGAAGATACTTTTTTTTTTCTCTGATAACTAACAGCTGTTTAGGGCCGTTGGAAACATATGCCGGATTTAGAAAGGTGAATAACTGAGTTTTTAGGTTAAAGAGCTTATTATTTACTTGCTTTCCATTTCCAATGCTCAAAAATGACTCATTCAAACAAATGAAACTAGTTGCTTTCTAGCTCCGGATGTATATGCTATAAGTCGGGGCTTTCAACAGCTAAGGCTACTTATCGCTGCTCTCAGCCTGAGACTTGTTCTGGATGATCAACGGAAGGTCTGCTATCGTCCATGCATCATTTCGTCGAATCTGCTTATTTGCGTTACGACATCAACCTTTGAGTCGTACCTAGTACTTCATTAGGGTGCTTTAGACGACTTATTCTGGTAGTAGGAAATCAAAAACCGTCTATGATTTATTTATTTAAAATAGTGAATTTAGACAGACATTGCTTCAAGCTGATATATAAGCTCATGCTAGCTGCCGGCATTATTTGATGTTATCTTGACCAACCGCATACACATAATCGACTCTTCCTTTTTAAGAGCGCAAGGAAATCGATCGCAAAATCATTAGGCCCTTGTACATGGGCAGACTATAGCGGATTCTGGATGCAGCTGTTTTTGAATATAATGGCTGAGGGTGTACTCGCAATGAATCACAAGGGCCTCAATTATTATCATGATCATATATGTACAGTGAGGTTCCCTAAACAGGATGAGCAACGTATTCCATTGACTTTAGTAAAATACTAAACACTGGACAGGTGTCTTTTGGCGTTCCGAGTAACTTAGTTATCTAAGTAAAAATCAGCAAATTCTTTTTAAATTTTTTACTTTACTGAGGAAAAAAGACGCTGTAAAAATTCGCCAATGATCAGTAGCCGCACCACTGTCAGTGCTTTATTTGATCTTTATTATATCTATCTTTATTGTAAAGTCGAACCTGCAGCTCGTAGGACATCTCTAATAGTTTTTACAATAAATTAATTATCTAATGCTTGACCTGCAAATGATCAGGACACACCTACCATACTACAATGTGCTTGGTTCATTAGCGTTATCGTTACGAATCACGAGAAACTCGTCGATAGGAAGCAACTAAACGAATTTGTGCGACGCCTTAGGCGCCACAATGCCTAACACAGATTTTCGCATCTTAATTTCGCATTATATTTTCATAAAAATCAAATTTTTTCCATGGCGTACAAGCTTCATTGAAAACAGGCGTTCTTGGCGTAATATTCTTGCCACTTTACTTCCTTCTTCGAAGGCGTTTTTCTGCAAACACAATAATGGGTTTGCCGCTATTTATACATAAAACCTTCCGCTTTCTTGCAGATGCTTTTCATTCCTAGACATATGCTTAACACTAGTGTATATAAGCGCCTCCATATATTTAATAATATGAAACTAGAATCCTTCATTCCTTACACATACTTTCCTGTCCTATCTTCAATAACACGTCCCCTGCAATTGTCGTCTTAGGACTAAGCGTACGCATTGATACTCTGTTCAGAACCGCGGAACGACACTTCCTTGCCCTGTAGGGCTAATTCTCTCTTGAGGGTGTCCAGAGTTTTGGCGTGGCACGTGTTTACATCAAAGCCATCAGCACTAGCGTCTTTAAGCTGCTTTTGTGCCTCTTCGACGAGTCCTTTCTCCAGCAGAATATCGATATGTGCGCTGAGAGCAATCGCATAAACTCGTTTTGGTTGGACCTTCTCTTTCAGAACTGCTAGCAAACGTGCGGACATAACCTCATCTTTGTTTTCACGCATTCGGGAAAGTATTCGTTTGACAGATAAATTTTGTTCAGGTATCTGAGGGAACTCGGCCATCAGCGCGTCAGCTTCGTCATATTTTCCATCACTAAACAGGTGCGTCCAAATCAACCGCAGCATGTTCAGGTTTTTTTCATCTCGTGCCAATCGTTTTGCCACCTCACAAATTCGCCCAAGTGCGTCGGGATGGCTGTCGAGAACAGCATTTATCCAGCCGTGACCGGCTGTTTCCGTAATTGGTACTTTATCTAGAATATCCAGACACTCAGATATACGTCCGGCGGCAACATAGGCATTGCACATCATGTCATCGTACGCGTAAATTTTACGAAGTTTATCAGAAAGCAAAGGTCGTAATGAAATCAAGTCATCGACCATTTTCTCTTGCGCCAGCGCTGATAGAAGCAGACGAATTGTTCGAGACCGAAGATGCATGTCACCCTCCTTATAAGCTTGGAGGTATTCTCTAAAAATTTTCAATGCTGTTTTGAGCTGATTATCTTCGGTGAGGGCGGCGATGAGATTGCTTTCGTCGAAGACTGTCAGAGGACGTCCATCTTTTAAGCTCTCTTCGCGAAATTTCACCGCCTCCGCCACCGAATGTTTCAGAATGCTATTAAAATTGTTCGAAGTCGCGTTTTCAAAGTTGTCTGCTGCTGGCGGCTCAAACTCACTGGGCACCACGAACGGGACCTCGCGGCCATTGCGTTCAAGAACGCGCGCCAGATACCGTAACGTGCGATTTGACAGAATAATGTTTTCCTCCTGGGCCCGTGTCCACTGTTCGAGCGCTTTGTCGATGTTGTCGTCGCGGCAGTAACCTCGCATTAGCAGGTAATAAAGCTCATCTTGATTGTAACCGAACTCAGCAATCAGCCTAACGAAGGCCTCGAGCTCCTTGACTTGTTTCCGCTCGACGAAACCTTCGCAAAGGGATTCAATCCGCCGTTGAACACGGTTCAATGGACATTTCCGTAGCAATTCACGGGCTTTATCGAATAGTTCGCATTCCGCATAGTACGTGGATAAGTCAATCTTGGTACTGAACGAACCATAGAGCTCCGACGAAACGGCGCAGACTTCATCAATTACTTCGTTTGCATCGGCAGCAATTAGTTGAATGATAAACTCGCGTTTCATGGGTGTAACTCTGTACCGATTAGCGATATTTTTGAACAGAGCAAGACTCTCATTAACATCCCCCTTATCAAGGCTAGCTTTCATTATTGGGCCTAGAATTGAGGGCGTGATTACAGAAAATTTGCTTACTTGCTCATCTACCAGTTTTAGAGCTTCTTCAATTCCGTTCTTTTCCACCGTGGCCCGAACAAGGCGCATAGCGCTCTGTTGACAGTTGTCTGTAATATCTTTGAAACCATGGCTGTTCAGTATATCTTTCGCTTCGGCAAAATGCCCTTCCTGCACACTTAATGCTGCCAAGTTAATTACCTTAAAGTCATCAACAACAAAATTTTCTAGTTTCTTTACCTGCGTATAGTATTTTAGCGCTGTCTGAAGATCACCTTTGTACACATTCAGATCGATCAAAGAAGCCAACACTGAGCCGGATAGCTCCTGGTTTTCGAGCTTTTGCAACATTTTGTCAACCTTGTCGAACTCTCTTTCTCGAGAATACGCAATTAACAATCTGCAAGCTAAACCATGCCAGTCGGCATTTTGCGTCTCGAGCACTCTCAAACGTTTCTCCATTTCTTCAGTAGCCATCGGTTGTATTGGCCGTCGTTCCCTATAGTATTTCGAGGGTTGTGACAACGCCTCATCCTCAACCATGTTAATGTGCAGTGCTCGAACGCAATCACCTCGTTTAAGGAGCTGTTCGTAGCTAGTTCTACCAATTTGAAGTTGCTTCTGGCGGGCTACCTGACCAACGGCTTCATTAAATGTATCATTAGGTACAGCTCGAAGAAATTCGCCAACGAGGTCTCGAGCATTCTTGCTGGGTGCTTGGTTTTCGAAAACTTTATTCAATACCTGCACAGATTTACCAATATTTTTTGGCGTAGCCATATTGGCCGCAACAGTGATTAGCGATCCGGTCAGGGGGCAATCATTTTCGTTTAAAAGAGCTAAACATTTGTCTACCTGTCCTTCGATAAGGAAATATTTCGCAAGATAGTAGACAGCCCTTTGTAAGAAGCAGCCAGCCTCAAGTAGTTTCTTTATTATTTTTTCGCTATCCTCACAGTTCACTCGGGGCAGAACATAGTCTATCAATAGTTCCTCTGACATGGGCACCTTCAGCGAGTGCATCTCTCGCAACGTGTCCCATATCTCGGCTTCATGTGTAGCCTTGCATATGATCGGATAGAACATATGCGGCCGCAATGGGTATCCGTTAGAAGACATAAGCTTTACGTAGTCAATACAGGTGCTGCGGTCAGCCGATTGCAAAGAAGTGTGCGTCGCTGTGACTAGCCCGTCATCGTTTTTACCTTGCTCCTTAAGTTTGTTACAGAAATTCGTCACGTCTGGTAATGAAAGCCCCGATTTGACCATTTGTGAGATGAAATAGTTACCGGACGGCCCCTGCGAGGGATCATACGGAAGGTGGTTAAAGATAATTTCGGCGACTGCCAATTTCTTGTGCGATAAAATCTCGAAGCATGCATTGATGATATCTTGTCCGAAACCGATTGAACGCGGCAGTTTGCTTATGACCTTTTTTACGGACTCGATGTCGTCTTTTAGTGCAAAAGCTTTTGCTAAACGCAAAATCTGCTCATCGGATAAGTTATGACCTTCGATCGTTTCAAATGCTTTGGTCGCAAAACCTTTTTCTATTAGACTGCTTGCGAAAACCGTAAACGTTTCCGATGACGGATGAAGTTCTGCTGCAGTCATGGCCTCAAGAACCTTGTTAGCAGACTCAAGGTCACCAGTGAGCACATGGCCTTTGATAAGGGCATTGAACACACGTTCGGATACCGGTATCCGTTCACTCTTCATGAATTCGATTACTTTGGAGGCGCCGGCTACGTCCCCTACGTCACAGAAGCGCTGAATAAGCCTTTGATATGTAACGCGATTAGGTGCGACGCCAGCATCTTTTAACTGGACAAGAAATGTTTGGGGGTCAAACGCTGTGTTATTCTCCAGATAAGCCTGTAAAACAAATACGCAGAAAATTAACTTGTTGGCAATATAGTAAGGTGCACAGACATGTGAAGAAGGTGTATCACCCAAGTATTTTAATAAACGATTCAGCACTCTGCTAAACAGGGGCTATCATATAACAAGGAAGCAAAATTTCATCATTACCTCACCTGTAATAATGCGTTGTAATGTGAAATATCAAGTTGTTTGGGGTTGGCAAGTTTCCATACGGTTTCAGTCAAAGCTGTACGAGCTTCAGGAGAACATTCTCGCGTAAATGCACCCGTAGCTCGCAGTAGTTGTAAGGTCTGTGTGGAATTTAAGCCTCCTGAAAATGATGAGCAAGATATTAGTTCGATTTGTAATCAAATTTTTATTGCCGACTGCAATAACGCGTGATTTATAAAAAAGTACAATGGTTCAAAATAATAAATTTACACCCAATTACTGCCAGAATGTATATAGCGAATCATTTGAATGTAAATCTACATGAAAAAGAGGACAGTACATGTATTATCAAAGTGGCAAGGCCAAAAGGCGCAAACAGTCTAACCATTGAAGCTTATATGGACGACTCGACTGTTGATTAAAAGTCTCCTTTTAAAAACATCCGTTCATTTCTGTGCCCACTCCAGGTGTATCAAGAAGAGTTTTTAGGACATTCGCATGCAAGTTTAAGACCTTTCAACTTAAGTCCTATTGAAGGTCTTTCGATTTGCCTCATCTTCTTTGTTTTACTCAGTTTGTATAGAAATTAACAATAATTTAGATCGTCGATTGTGGGCAAAAAAAAGGCTTTTAATCTTGATAGAAGACCCATAAATATTAGATAATCGCTAACTAGGAACGAACGCTTAAAAGCCGGCGCATTATTGTATGCCGTGGTGAACTTCTTGTTTTCTTCTAGACAAAACTGACTTTCTTCGTACTTTAGCCAAGTTTGAACACATGTAAGTTGCAACAGACTTTGCTTTAATTTAGACGCACCAGCCTATACATACATATATATATATACCAACCTTGCTCTTTTCCCTTCTTAATTGCTTCTTCAAGTGACATTCGTGTTATGCGGCCACATCGACGAACATATTGGTCCATTATGGTCAGCTTTGAATCGAGAGAGTTTACATCTAGAGCCCGTGCGGTGACAGTATTTTTCCGGTTCCTTCGAGCGCCCCCGGGGCTGACGGGTCGCTGCATTTCGAATATCGGTTCCGGCATGGAACTAGTATGACAACAGTAGAGAAAAACGGAAAGCAATTTTTTTTTATACATTTTAGTTACACATGCGAGTTGATAGTTTGATGCGGTGACGACGAACGTTGAAGAATTAAGTACTTGAAACAATCCGCTACAGTCTTTCTGCAATTCAAACCCAACCGGTCATGATCTAAATCTGTATATATATACATTTTTTTAGATTATCATCGTTGAAGGAGTTTCTAAGAGCTTAGGAGTGGTAGTCCTTTTGCATTTCGTTATTGAATAAAGATAAACAACCAATGTAAGGATAAAATCTATAGATATAATCACATTTTCTTTCTTGTAAAAAGGCATAATTCATTTTTGATCAGTTTAATTTTTCATAACGTAATGAACAAAATTCCATGTTGAATTTTCAAATAATTAAATCAATTATTTTCTACATTTAACACAAAAATTGTACCAATACCATCAGCATTATGAAACAAAATAAACTCGTTGGGCAATAACATTTAAACTATATAAAAACTAAACAGTAATTCAGAATTGACGTGAAACTTCCATACATCATGTCCTTGTTTCGTAAAATTCAAATCCCCTCGTAATTACAACTCCATAGATTTCGTTAAAAATAAATAAATAACAGCAAAGCATGTGCATAAAATAAACAAATATTTTCTTGGAGAAGATAAATTTTCTTTTGTGCAGTGTAAAAAATAACTAACCTTAATTAATCACTAAAAAAAGGTGCTTGTCTAGAGAACGCCAGACTCTACATCATCTCTTGTAAGCGTGCTTAACGTGTAAGAGCACAATTTTTTCATGCGGTACGCGCGCTTCCATCCACAAACATCATCGCTTATGTATAGACAGAAGCTCTAGCGTAGAGGCAAAAGGTTTTATTCGAATTTGTTGAACGTGTCGCCAACTCCGCATCGTGGAAAGATACTGCCAGAATCCAAGCATCAGCAACGACTACTTATGGGCAATGAGAACATTCTAAATACCATGTATGTTCTGAAGAGCTAAACAATAAGTTCTTATTTTTTTTCGAGAATTATAGAAAAGAACCAGTGCACGTTTTCATCTAGAGTCACCAATAAGATTGAGTATTTTAGAGGCACGATTTGAGGTATAGAGCTCATTCAATCTAGCCAGACGGCCTTTGATGTGATGGCTACTATTAGCCGGCAATACAATGTGCGGACCTACTGCTTACCGGGTGCATGGAAACGTACCTTACAAACCGCGATGGTAGGCGATGAGCGATGACCGTTCGCCGTTGAGTAAAACGATGGGTCTTGCTAGAAACCCGGCCCCCCAGGCCCAGCATTCTCATGAGCGGCGACATGGTACCACCCCCTTATCTGCCTAGTTAGTACACTCGAATTTCTGTGGGACCAGAGAGGGGTTAGAATTTCGGAACAACACTGCATAAACTTTCTGTACATTCACGTGCGCCCCTATTAGCCGTACTCATGCAGCAGACGACGTTCAACCAAACTGCTCAACAGAGAAGCTTCGCTTCGAAACCATGAATCATTTAGTGGAAGCCGCCACAGGTCATGTAGCAAAGGCGTCTCGAATTCGGGGTGTTCTCAAGACATACTATAGATTGTCGTTCTTTTAGCGGGTATGTATGTTTCATCTTGCTGCGCAAACGGAACAACGTAATAATATATGTTGTGGGAGATTAGAAGATACTGCTAGAAGTTCGCCACGTTTTCGTTTACCGACTCATAGTTACAAGATCTAAAGAAGAAAAAATGTTATATAATTATAATTTTTTGAGGCCTATTGCCGTTCTCACGTAAGTTTATATGCCGCTTCGTATTTTGATTTTAACTTCTAAAGAATTAATACAATCATATTCACCTGCCTGTTCTCACGATACTTTTGTTTTATCAAACCCCTTAACGCGACAACCGAGTTAGATTTTACAATAAAGGGGTAAAATTTATTGCCTCAGTTGTATATGGCGGTCACAGTTTGAGCATACAGGTATTATGTTTTGAGTGGTCAGGGTTCTTGGCACCGCACTTAACCTGTAGGGTTAGGCTTCTAGGACGAAATGTTCAGTCTGGTGCTGTGGGGAGCGCCAGAATCGTGTTTATGCTCTTCAACAACGCAGTCTTACCCTTATCTGAACGTTCACACAGAATAGGTCGATACTGTAATCGATTTTTCTAACCAAATTTTCGAAATTTACTGCCCCTAAATATTTAATTAGTAATAGGAAAAAGTTATAATGAAATAAATTAGAGTTAGGCATTGCTTTTTCAACGATCGTTATTCTCTCGAAGTTTTTCGACAGTTGATCAGAGCACCTGTAAACATAAAAAAAAAAACAAATAAATAGTTAGTTAGCTCATAAGCGATAGGAAAATAGATTTACTGGGACCGCTTGACGTCTAAGTAAGATTAGATTAGCCGTCATGGGCGTCCAACAAATTTGAGAAAGATCCAGGTTTGCGAGCCTCACAGAGACCATTATTTAGCGCTGACGCTTTAGCTCGTAATAAAACCTCCGTTGGTCGTATCCAAACTATTATAGATATTATATAATAGCGTAGAAAATGTCTATGCTGATGAAATAAGTAATGAAAAGTAATACTACGGTTATCACTTTATTTACTTATTTTGTTGATTTAGGCCCTAGAGAGGGCAACGACTTTTGAACAATAATATTTTACCAGGGCGTCTATATATTAGGTCCCTTATTTAAACTAGAAATATATGCGTGTATTACATTGAATAAAGGTACAAACATTAAATATGTTCTGGCCGTCGTTCCGGGGTATTACTGGTAATTTAGCATTTTCTGAAGTAATTTTCTTATTTCTTAATGTTCTATATCCTACTCACTGCGTACCCTGGCGACCACGGATTCTGACGCGTTTTTCAACTAAATTATTTTTCAGTGTAGCTTTCTATCTCGTTCGGCCTTCTATTACGCTGCTGGCTCAGCACAAAATTCTGTTTCTGTGCCCGGATTCGGACCTAGGCTACAATGGCAGTGCCAGATATAAAATTAGCAAGCAAAACCGTCACCCATTAAGTTTTCACGAGAACTTAAAAGTAATTAGGTTCCAAATTGACATTAGCCTTCTCAACCAATACTTAACCAAGGCAGTGCCAGATATAAAATTTGAATATCGCACTCGACTAGTTCGCCGAGGCAGAACTTCCGACCGACCAGAGTTTGGACGCTTCCTTCCTGCCGCCTTAATGTAACGGTCATATTGTACGAATTCTTTAGAGAGTTCACCATTATCTGCCAGGCCGCAGCAGCTTCCGCTTCAGGGATTTGTTTTAGAGTCTACCTGTTTGCAGCTAGATCTTGATACTTTTACGTTGTCCACCCATGGTATTCTTGCCTTAAACTGAACCAATGCGTTGCCGAAGAATAGATCTCAAGGGAAATGCAATTAAAGCCGCTGTTGGAACAACGTGCGAAGCTTATAGAAGCTCCCGAAAGTGGCAAAAACATTAATAACCCACACACAAAATAACAATGTTAAAACAAACAAACAAACGCTTCGAATAGCTGCAGACCTAGTTCACAACCTAGTCTGATCTATTCTTGCATTGCAGGAAACATTGCTTACTGTTAGCTAAGGATGCGAACCTAATTTTTTTCATTCCCAAATATTTATTTATCATTTTAATTCATGCAATTACACGATAACGCACAGAGAAGATCGACAAGGCCAATGGCTACACGTCACTGGCACACCTATCGGCTTAAAATGACAAAGTTTTCGTCAATAAATCATAGCCTTTTCAATCTATTAGCTTGATCTAATTTACCTTATCATGCAAGCAGGCATTGTCCTTCGCTTAACAAACAATGTAGCATCAAATGAGATTCAAAACTGCTTTGTTAGTTTTTCACACGGTTCTATTTAGTCGCCAAATACAACCACTGGCTTGCATTGCAAAAATTCAGACGTTTATACCGGACAGGGCCTGATTTCGTTTTGTGCTGGAAGCCAACCGCTTGACGCAACGCTTTACGGCAGTGTACTATATGACAGGTGTGATCGAATAAAACATTTAACAGAAGCATAGGACATTTATTTACATTAACCCCGTAATGATTTGGCGGGTAAGGATTTCGCCTGATAATTTTCGTCGTGGTCTAAATAAACCAGCGTTAGTTGTAACGCTATATATATTTGCTCTCAAGCACAAAATACAGAGTGGAGTAAAACGCCGAGAAGGCTATCGCCGTGCGCTGAACATAAGTTGTTAACATTACGTGGCTAATATTGTACCAGTATGAATGTATTTTTACCATACATGTTTTTTTTTCATTATAACTATCTAAAATATTAACGTGCACAACTAAATATACCGCAAATATGTACCTTCTCTGTACTAACCCACTGAAGCCGGAATAAACCATTCAATTTCGCAAGATCCCTGGCAAAATGGATAACGGGTTAACTCTAGTGACGGATAAAAGACTGAACGGTGAGCAGGCCAATAATAAAAAAATTACCGATATAAGGAATTCTCGAACTGTAGTGACAAATATTATTACAAGTGACGCTGTTCATCTTTTGTAAGGGAAGAGGCACCGTGCCTTATTGGCCTGTATGGGAATCAAGACAGGCCTTTAACTCGGCAAATTTTTAAGTTTTTCAAATATCTGACAAAAATTATCAACAAAATCATGTGTTCTCTGTCTGTATTGTTGAGCTCATGGCGACTGCTTACTACATTAGGGCAGACCACAGAACTCTTAGTGAACTGACATAATTTTTGGCTTAAAAAGGAAGGACTTCGACGTCATTTTACTGTCAGATATCAATGTAATATCTGACATAATTAGAAATATCAGCACCTAGTGTACACCTGTGTACCGCTGTGTTTGGTAAAAATGACCAATTGTTCCTATACGAAAAGTCTTGTTGGCATCTCGGTGGCGCGCAGTGTGATAACATCTTTTCTTGTTCAACAAGTTAGGAACAAGTCTATAAACTTGTCGGGATATGTATGGTGTGTTAATGAATTAGCTACTCAACTTATTTTCATGTAAACCGTGTGCACGCTCCACGTATACCCTACGCAAAATTTGGTCTATAAACATCGGGACAAACATCAAGGCCTTCAAATTTTTACCTCCTGCCAATCACGTTTCATGACGATGAGGCAGGAGCTATGGACCCGCTGGTTCAATGTCTGCCAACGACATTGACATATACGCGATTAAATATTAGAAGAAACGATACCATGGATTGTTGGTACTGCGAAATTCTTGTTAAAAAAGTCTAAACTTGCTGCTTCTAAACTCTACTACACGCTACTGAAGTTTGTAGGTAGTAATTATTAAAACGTTTCGTAAAAAAAGTAAAATTAATAAAAAATAATTATTAAATTAAAGTAATTTGTAAAATTACGGTAGTAATTATTCGAAGATGCCCTGCGAAAGTACGTACACTATACGCCTGTTCTATCTTAATACGTTGCTATTGTCGATTCGTTTACATAATTCCCGTGTTTACATATCCCGTGTTTACATAATTTCCGTAGAAAAAATTGTTTAGTCGACCATTACATTTAAACTGAATTTTTGTTTACAAAAAATACATCTGAACAAAAAATGCATTTGAAATTTGCAGCGCTTCTGAAACATCGGTTTTTTACTTTAGGGCGAGAGGTGGCCTATATCCATGCTGTTTTTTTTCCCATTCAAATTAAGCTACAAATTGGATCCTAAAGTTTGCAGACCTACTCCCTATTTTTTCTTCAGCCTTAGCTACAGCATAGAATGACAGTATCGAAAATAGGAGTAGAAGCGGATCCTTTTCTCCTTTTTTATTGCAGTAACAACGTATGGGTGAACGACCGGCCAAACGCCATGAACCACATATCAATCGTTGCATTACAACATGCTATTGCACCTTAGTTCCGGGGCGCACCAGCTCACAACCGTTGCTGCAGTAGGCGCAGTAGGCGTTGAGCCGTGAAATTCTGCAAACTAATAGCAGAGTGTAGCAGCTATTGGTTTCAATACTTCGCGGTTAAACACCTGCTGTGCTTCTTTTGATGAAGCCGTTATTCTACTCCCCTTGGCCAACATCCTTTCTTTTAATGTCTTCGCTGTTTGAGGCGTTATCAGCGCTTTGAACAGCGGAAGAGCTCTTTGTCTCGGGATCCTCTTTATTGGCATCTTTCTTAATAATATCACCCCTGGCGTCCTTGGTCTCCTTATCGTCTTCTTCATTTTTTCCCTCTTTGTCACCAACACGTAATTTTTCCTGAACTCGTTTCTCCTGCCGAGTCCTTTCGCGTTCCTTAATACGATTGAGGCGTTCTTCGCTTTCAGCCCTCTCATCCTCGGCGATACCATACTCCTTAAGCAATGACTCGAAGATCTTCGTTTGCTGCTCGCGGATACGGTTGAAGCGTCGCTCGAACGCCTCATTAGAGACTTTGAGAATTTCGGTAACGAGGTCGTCGCCGAACATTGTCCGCATTCGCTCCTCCTTCTCACTTAAAAGCTTGCTCACCTGGAAGCGCCTTTTACGATTGTACTTCAGATCGGCGAACATAAGTTTAAACGAGAAGCGGTCCAGCGTGCGGATCACATGCTTTGTATTCTTGATGTGCGGGTTAGAGAGTCTGCAGAGAGAGCAAGCATAAATAGAACCAGTAAATAACAATGGAAAGAGAGTGTATTGTGTGATGCTATGCTGTATATTTCAGCTGTATCGAGTTGAGTTGGTTTATGAGTATACGAGCAATGAAGAGTTCCGCTAGAAGTTCACATAGTTATGCAACAAAACGTAACTCTAAAGTTCAATTAATTCTGTGCAACTAATTCCAACTTTCCGGAAAAAGCCTCTCTTGAGACCCGTGAGAACGGTAAACCTAATAAGAAAGCAACAAATCAAGATCACAACTTACCTGTACTTATTTGGTACAACTTGGAGAACATCGCAACGCTCGAGGAAATTGGTCGTATTATCGAATTTCGCTAATTCCATTCTGTTTTTGATGTACGAGTTAAGGAGGTTTAGGCCTTTCTTTTGGAACTTGTCCATGACAGTATCGCGAAGTTTACGTAGAGGTGAAGCTTCGTTTGCTCTGTGAAGGCAATGATGTACGAAGTACGAACAGCCATTAGACAACAGAAGTTATAAGGAAGGCACAAAATCGATAGTGGCCACGTTTAGCTTATAGAAAGAACGACGTTAGATACTGCTAACAAATCATATGATTGTCGCACATGACCCATAGGATCAACCTGAACCTCTTTGCCCTTATGTTCTGGTAAACACGCAAGTCACTTTATGAATCAGCTGTAATCTAAAACAAACTTTAGAAGCTGTGGAAAAATAGAAAAAGCAAACGGGTTCTGTTTTCTATGACAGAAAAAAACCACCGGTATGAACCTAATATAGGGTGACATAAGTCTAAGCCGGAACGACAACACCAAAAGACACCTACTCCGAAATTGTGGACGCTTCCGATGGGGTTCTGCGTCGGGCAGGTTTGGCCCCGCGACGTTGAGAACGCCCGGATGTCGCCGAGGATACCGATGTCGTTCTTTGACGGCCCCCCTTAGCAATGCGAGGACCTGAAATTATAGAGGGGTAGAACACCGACCGCAGGCTACTGTCAGAGCTAATCGAAATCATACAGAACGATAAACTTTAGGTTTCCCATCATGATAGATTGCTCCACACACCCCTTCGCTCATACATCTCGCCGAAATACTTGAAAATGATTGGGAATCTTTATTCGGAACTGCGTTCAACACTGCCTGTAACTGCACAAATAAGGTGAAAAACTGCCAAGTCACACTTATTGTATCTAATCTAAAGTTTGGCGGGCCGCCATCTTGTGGGCGTCCACTTGGTGACTGAGAACGGCATCTCATCGACAGCAGTCAGCCGCAGTCAGTAGCAGTGGTGACGGGGGCGCGTCTTTTGTTTAACGAAGTTCTGCTAATCTTTAACCTCTTTCTTGCCGACCTAGGGTAACACAACATAGCTATACCATACCGCACCACATGTAACGTAAGTCATTTAATGTATACCTAGTTGAAATTGGAGATACCTACCTTTGTTCTCTTTGTCGTCGGCAAGGCTGCGGGGGATTTTGCGGAACCTCGAGGGCTTCCTGCGAGGTCTGCGATTGGTCTCCGATGTTTTCAGGTCGTGCGAGGCACCGTTGTTCTCCGTCGTACGGTCTTCGACCTCCGGGATCGTCGGTGCATCGGTGTGTTTCAGCTCAACGGAGGCCATCGCAGAATTTAATGCGTGTTACGCTGACGTCTAGCGCTTCGTCCTACTTCATGAGCCGAGAAGAGGCAATAGAAAAGTCGAGTATCGTATTTATAGCCTTGGACTGGCTGGTCAGCCGTTGATGAGAGGGCGTCTGCTTGTAGAAGCAACCGCCGCCATCATCGATTGAGAGAGAACGCAAGAGAATTATTATGTCAACTACCAGTCACATTACAGCCAATCAACCAACCGAGCATTTAAAAATGAACAAATCAAGTTAAATTGCACATCTGTTCCTGTACGTGTGCTTGCATGTGTCTGTATGTAACTGTGAGTGTGAAGCTGCACGCGACGTCAATCGCAGAAGCTAAGTTTAAACTACCTGTTCGATGTGTTCGTGTGAGGTACAGGTGCTATAGCAGCAGATATACGGCACGTAGGATCCTGACGAAGTGTTCCCTTTTTTCGTGCACGTATACAAGACGAGTTGCCCACAAGAACACGCAATTGCGCCACTGATATTAGGAAATACACTGGAAACAAAACCTGCGGTAGCACAATCTTCCCTCGGCAAATTCGAGAATAACAATCATGTCTGGCTTGGTTGAGGGAATTAATCTGTCGAAACTGTTAGATGGTTCGCTTTTAGCATTGCCGTGCTCGGTAGTAGGTAAATATTGCCACCTACCTGTAAGAGTTCGCACTGTATTCGAACAATGGCCAATCTCTCCCCTTCAATTCGATTGGTGTTGCAGATCATCACGGCCAGCAAGGTTATTATCCAGAAAGAGGGCAGTAAAAGAGGGGAAAGCTATGAGGAGTCTAAGCTGGTAAGGAGTATATGCAAATGGCAATTATAACCGATAGTCAGTTATTTGTTATGAATAAGCAAGACCCAACCGGCAGAGACTGGGGCCGGAGGTTCCCCTGAAAGTCAACCTGTTTCTAATGTTATATTGTACATATATATGACGGTAACATCGCGAAGTGACGCGTTGTGGTGTCCCATTGCACCTAACCGCTTTGGATAGAATTTCTATAGGAGTAGACTGTTAGCCGTAATTACGTGCGTTTCTCCTCATGCCCCTACGGATCTTATGGACGGCATCGGCAAGCTGGTTAGTTTCTCATGAACGATAACGATAATAAACGAATTATAATAATAAGAATAATTAACAAGATCGACTTGTTCAGTTTGTTAGCATTACACTTTTATTAGTTCCCGTTCAGATTCCTAATATACTAATTAAAGAGTCACTTAATAGTTGAGTGGTTTGCTCAGAAAAGGCAGACGAGCCGAGATATATATATATATATATATACGCACACAAAACAAGAGATTAACATAAAAAGTTATAGTTTTGTATGTTAGTGAATATGACGCGTATTAATTACGCAGCCGGCGAAACTACGCTAATCTAAGTCAAGGTACTGCTATTTTCGATCCGCATTACGGATGCAGCATCTTCAACTTGGACTAGGCGAAAAATTATTAAAAATAGCTACTGACGGCTGTCAACATAAACACGTACTAAAATTGCATTTAACAATCGAATTTCCGTAGCTAATATGTCTCCAGTATTCTTAAGCTAGGCTCACTTGTCCTGTTTCGTCTTTTAGGTAAATAATATTAACTAATTTGCAATACTACTCCACCTGGCAGGACTGTAGGAAAGTATGTACCTGTGAAAGTTTTGCCCAAAACACTAAAGTAGGCACGAAACAGAAAGTGACCTGAAGTATTTTTTATTATTATCGTCTTATTAGTGATTTTGTCCTTTGAAAAAGCTTCGTTGCCCGTTTTGTCATTTTGATATCTACTGTAGGTATTCCGAATTTTATGTACGACTCTGCCGTCAGCCATTGTTTCAGACGCCGTATTCTAGACGTTTGAAGTACGTATACCGTATATTCACGTTCAGCGCAACGTTCGCTAAATGTAGCCTGACAGGCCATCGTAACCAAGTCCATTTCAGAAAAGAGCACTCCGAAATATCATAATCCTTTTGCACTGTTCTTATTTCAATGATAGGTGGAAACAAATCTTCTAATTTACTAGCTGTTTGCAGCAATGGTGACGCAAAATTACACTAAATCGACTGGTTCCGGGCTACATCCGTATTTTATATGAGCTTATGAGCTTACAAAGAGTTGAATTATTTATCGAATAATGTGTACAGCATGATTTCTGGATGCATAATTGATAAGTGTAGCTTCTGCCCATACTCCTAGACCTTAAATTGGAACACAAGTAATGGCGCTTCTTTTTAAATGTTTTCATTCTTGTTTGTTTATCTCTACATACTATTTAGAAGTGCTCTTTCTTCCATATACATGTTGTTATTTTATGATTTGTCAATTATTTTTTACCGAAAAGAGCTGTTCTTGGTAAAAAAAAAAAGTGCATTTTTGACATCTACTCTACTTCGTTTTTTGTCGAGGTCAGCAAATTGTGAAGGCAGCCCAAAATACTTTTTGGACTTTTGGGGGGTCGTTGCGATGCTAACACTACTACCTGAGATTGCAACATTTAAACCTGGAGCCAGCGCCGATCGGTGGCTAATTTGCTCATAAAGATCTGGTTATTTTCTAAAAAATCGATAGTAAAGTTAACAAGTTCCAAAACGTTTCAGCGAAACAGAGCTAATAATAGGAATAGGAAAAAAAACACAGGTTATATAGTACGTGAACCTGTTTCTGGAATTTGAGTGGAACACTATTTTTAGTTAGACGAAAAACAACCATTGCAAACATGAGTTTCTCGCCGCTTTAGCAGAAACTGGATCGAACACGACATGGTCAAGTTCCTGCCTTGAACCTACCGTTACGTCTGAACGATATTACTAATAAACCTGTTTAAGTTTTTCTATCCATAAAAAGCGATCCTAGGCAATATGACTCTATTAAGTGCTATATCGACTAAGGGTTGGATCCCTTAACACGTTTCTAGGGGCCTCTACCGTGGGACGGGTAAAGGCCTATTTGAATGGTGTCAAAGGTTTGGCGTTTGCGAGCAGCAATAGAAAACGAGTCTTGTTTATGTGGGCAGAATGAGATACTACAATTTTGACGGCAGATTTCGGACATTCGAATAGAATCGTTTCCAGTACCATTATCCAAACTGGTGTTTGCAGAACCGCGTACTATGCCGAGTTATTATTATGGGTGTATTAATTTAATGGTCTGATGCAGTCGAAAAGAGGGGCATTGGATGCGTCCTAATGAGGTTAGCAGCCTAAGGCGCACTCAATTGTTCCAGTCAAGTCCAGAGCATTAAGGTGAATAAAAGAGCCTTTGAAAACAATAATAAAATAATCCTTCATTTCAAACCATTCGACCGCGTCACACGTGTTGACTCGGATCCGATGTGCAGAGTTCACCGAAGTACGGTCTCATTCGAGAGCACTTGGCGCCCCTGTAAAACTCAACGGCAAACAGTGGTAATTGGTTAATGAATCGTTGACTGAACGATTAGATCACATGGCTATTTGACATTATCTAGGGCTTTTATACCGCATATCGGAGTACTGAGACGCTTTCAGTTTGTTTGCATCTTAAGCTAACGTTTACTAATTCATCGACAATCAGGATTCATCTGTTAGCTCGTTAATCGCATTGTTTATCCAGAAAGCGAGGGGAAGCTTTGGATTTTAGGCTGGTACTTTCATTCGATTGAGCAGACGTTCTCGTTACATTTCATTCCGTTCAACTTGATCACAGTTGGAGTTTGTAACTAGTGGGAATGGTATTATAATATTCTACCTTAAAATAGCACTGCAGCTTCTTGAATCGTAGGGGCATTTCTAAGATCCTGCCTCGATCACGAGAAGTGTTCTACGAAAAGGTCAAAACGTAACATTAGTCCGCGTCGAAGATGCGATCGCCGTAACGCGCATCGTCGTGTCGATAGAATATAATACCACATAGAGCTATTGATGCTTCTCGACCTGCGGACAACGCGTGGCGCCTGTATTCATCACGTTTCTTTTAAAAATAGCTTACATCGAGACCACAACAACTCTAAGTGGTTTCCGTGTGTAACACGTACCAAGATATAAGTGATCCCTAGCAAAGCAAACCCAGTGCTACCTTACAAAACAAAAAAAAAAAAAGAAAAAACACAAGACCAATAGTCATTCATCGAATATAGCTTTTTCTTTTTTTTTTTATGGATTCCCTTCTATAAGCGAGATACTGCTCACATTTCATACGAGTACGTTATCACTACGGCTGTTTTCATAAGTTCTTCGCTCTACGAGAAGGTCTGAATGAAATAAAGTTCAGACGTCCTTTGGAAACATAGTGTTTTACGCACGAAACGTATGAAGGACGTATCGTGTGGGCGCAAAGCTTAACAATACTTGATATCAACCGAAGTCTGTTGCAGTCTGCCTTGCAAGTGGCAAACGTATGTAGCAATATAATTGCAGATAAAAGGCCGAAGGAGCACCCGGATGGCAATCAGTAACTCGAATCCCAGGGGACACATCTTGTTTAGGACATTAAGGACGCATATTTTTAAAAACACATCCTAACCCGGTCGATCAGTGCACTCGAAAGCACGGCTTGAAAGCTATGCAGTAACCGAAGAGACTCTGCAGGGCTGCAGGTAAACTGTGTTTTTCGCTGTTATGTTAGAGCTGTAACAAGTTTGTCTCCGAGATTTAAAATCACGTAAGGTGGTCGAAGTTAAAAGCGAAGGGTAGCTAAAGTTCCTATCGTTCTGGAGGGGGCCCACTTTTACTACAAAAACAGAGAGAAAATTGAAAACAAATGAATAAAACAAGTGTCGATATAAGCTTCGGTATCCGCGAACGTACAAAAGTATGCTATGATTGAACAAAGTGGTTTTTGTTTTTTAAAATAATTGCAATGATTTGACGAAGCTGCATTCCTAGTTTCAGGGACTCGTCATTATTATGATAACCTTTGCGGTGATGCGTTTACTGACACGACGTCCGGTTTGTGTTTCATTGAGCCTCCTCAGCGACATAACGCTAATCTTTAGGCAGGTTACGGCTAATGCTGAATATCTGTGTGATGATGGTATTTAAAATAGAATCTCAAATTTAGGTCCGCCGTGGTGACGTTTGCCT